GAGTTTTTGCTTTATTTTTGTAAAAACATTTTTGTAATTGACGTTTGATTATTTTATAAAAGTTTTGAATTTTATTCGTTCAATTTTAGTTGTAACTTTACTTAACACAAGGTTCTAACCTTGAACACAATAAAATGAACAGGAGAGGAATTGACCTCAGATATATATGAGGCGAACTGCAAATGACAAAAGATAAAGTAAAACTCTTCTGAAGTGAGTGTAAAGAAACCATAACCCAACAAATGAGGTGAAATGGCTGAATAAGTTACAATGAAAGGACTGAATCACTTCGAATGTGAAGTGAACTTCATTAATGAATTAAGTTTCAATACAGTAAGGACAAAGTTTTTACTGGAAAGGATTGTACTAAGGGTAAAATTTCTTTAAGGGTAAAATTTCTTCAAGTTATTGACATTCCAGACTCTAGGAACCCTTTTGCCTTCAGTGTCCTGTAGGATATAAACACTTGAGTGGGGCACTTCGGCCATAGTGTAGGGGCCTTCCCAGTTTGGCGCTAGCTTTCCAAATCGAGTTTCAAACCCCGTTAGACCAGCTTTTCTGAGAACAAGGTCTCATACTTTGAATGTTCGGGGTCGAACTCGTTTGTTGTAGAAGTTTGCTATTTTTTGCTTGTATACTAGAGTTCGAAGTCGTGCTTCTTCTCTGATTTCATCAAGCAAATCAAGGTTTTCCCGAAGCAGTTGTCCATTTCGCTCTTCATTGAAATGGGTGACCCTGAAGCTTTGGACTCCTATCTCGATAGGAATGACTACTTTGGTACCAAAGGCCAGATGATAGGGTGTTTCACCTATTTCAGTGGATTATAACTTTAGAATGCGCTTTACACGTTATGCATATTCGCACTAAGGTAAAACCGTAGCAGAAGAAGTAAAATAATATAAAATTAATCAAATAGGCCGGGTGTAGAGTAATACCTGTGGCAGTTCGGCTCGTAGTTCTGTATGCCGAGAGGACGTTGTTGAGCTCGTTTGCCCATTTGGCCTTGTGTTGTTCCAACCTTGGCTTTATACCTTCTAAGATGCATTTGTTAACAGATTCGACCATGCCGTTGGACTTCGGATGGTAAACCGAGGTGAACTACAGTTTAATCCCGTAGCTGGAACAAAAATCTCGGAATGAGGAGCAATTGAACTGAGTTCCATTATCAGCTACAATCTGATTCGGAATCCCATATCTGCAAATAATCGAGCTGAAAACAAAGTCTTCGACCTTTTTGGAGGTAAGACTGGATAATGCCCGAGCTTCAACTCATTTTGTGAAATAATCTACACCAACGATGAGATGGGTTACACCTCCTACCCCCTTCATAAATGGGCCTAAAAGGTCAAGAACCCATTGAGCGAATGGCCAAGGTGCTACCAAAGTAGTGAGCTCTTCTGCAGGCTGGTGAATTAGATGTGCGAACAACTGACATTTTTGACACCTTTGTACGAACTGAGTGGCATCCTTGTACATGTTGGGCCAATAATAGCCCTGTCTAAGAACTTTATGAGCCAAAGTTCGAGGCCCCACGTGACTTCCGCAGACACCTTCATGCACCTCCTTGAGTGCATACTCTACTTCATAGGGATTCAAGCACCGTCGGAGAAGGAGTGAGAAAGATCTCTTATAGAGGACCCCATCAACAAGTGTATACCGAGATGCTTTCTTCCTCAACTTCATTGCCTCCTGCTTCTCCTCAGGTATCACCCCATCTCGTAGGAAGGAGACAATTGAGTCAGTCCAGCTTGGCATGCCTGGGTCTGTGCTGATCTCCATCACCTGCGGCTTCGTGAAGCTTGGTGCATCTAGGACCTCCACAAAAACTGATCTAGAACTTAAAGAGCTATCCGAGGCAAATTTAGAAAGTGAATCTGCTTGTTCATTCTCAGCCCAGGGAATTTTGCTCAGACAGAACCTCTGAAATCTGCACTTCAGCTCAGCCACAAGGGCTACATACTTCATCATTACCGAATCGACAACTTCGCAGAGTGAGTTGATTTGATTCACCACTAGCTGGGAGTCACTATACACCTGGATTGCGTTGATTTTCAACTCCAATGCTAGTTGTAAACCAAGTAGCAGAGCTTCATACTCAGCCATGTTATTTGTTGCATCGAAGTTGAACTTCAAGGCATGTTCACTTCGGTACCCATTTGGGCCAATCAAGAGAGCTCCAGCTCCTGAACCTTTGCTACTAAATGCCCCATCAACATATAAGGTCCACTCGTTGGGCTCTAGATTGGGGGTTGAATGACATGGAGTGCATTCTACAATGAAATCTGCCAGTGCCTGAGCTCGGATTGCAGATCTCTGCTAAAATGTTATCTCGAATTCCCCCAGTTCTACTGCCCATTTAATTAGTCTTCCCGAGCACTCTGGCTTTTGTAAAATCTATCGAAGAGGTTGGTCTGTAAGGACAATGATCGGGTGTGATTGGAAATATGACCTCAACGTCCTGGCCGAAGTGACAACTGCTAAAGCTGCTTTCTCAGCAAGGGGATACCTCTTCTCTGCTCCATGCAGCACACCGTTGATGTAATATATTGGCTTCTGCTGTTTGGCTTCCTCTCTCACCAGGACCGAGCTAATGGCTTCATCTGAAATTCCTAGATACAAATAGAGAATCTCTTCATCTACGACCTTAGTTAGTAGAGGTGGTGAGCTAAGATAAGACTTCAGCTCGTCAAATGCGGTTTGGCACTCCTGACTCCATTCAAACTTTTTTTGTTTACCTGATTCGTCCTTCTGGGCGACTGACCTCATAATTTTGAAAAATGGCAGGCATTTATCTGCTGACTTTGATATGAACCGATGAAGAGCTGCCACTCTTCTAGTCAACCTCTGTATATCTTTTACTGACTTCGGCGGTTCCATCTCGGCTACTGCTTTGATCTTCTCTAGGTTAACCTCGATCCCCCTCCTGGACATCATGAAGCCTAGAAATTTTCCAGACTCCACGCCGAAGATGCACTTCACTAGATTGAGCCTCATTATGTTCTTTTTGAGGTTGTTGAATGTCTCCTCGAGATCAGTTAAGTGATCTTCAGCTTTTAAACTCTTCACTACTATGTCATCAACATAGACTTCCAGATTCTTGCCTATCTGAGCTCGGAATACAATCGTAACCATCTTTTGGTAAGTGGCACCCGCGTTCTTCAAGTCGAAGGGCATCATCACATAGCAATAAATTTCATCGCCGGCATAGAACGAGGTTTTTTCTTCATCTTTTGGAGCCATTGGCACCTGGTGATATCCTGAATATGCATCCAAGAGACTTAATCTCTCATTTCTCAAAGCTGCCTCAACCAACTTATCAATGTTTGGCATTGGGTAACAGTCCTTTGGACATGCATCGTTGAGGTTAGTGTAATCGATGCACATCCACCATTTACCGTTTGCTTTTTTCACCAGCACTGGATTGGCGACCCACTCACAATAATCGACCCTTCTGACAAAACCAGCTTGTAGGAGTTTCTCGACTTCTTCTTTAATAACCTTTAACCTTTCCCCCCCAAAGAGGCGCCGCTTCTGGGCTACTGGTTTCTTGAGTGGATTGGTGCTAAGTTTATGTTGAGAAACTGAAGTGGGAATTCCCGGCATATCTGCTGAAGTCCATGCAAAAACATCTTTATTGGCCCGAAGAAAAGCTATTAGCTCTGCTCTTTCCCCCGGGTTCAATTTAGTTCCAATTTGCATTGTTCGGCTCGGATCTCTGTCATCTATGTGCACCTCTTCAACATCTTCAACTGGGGTAGCTCTGGTTTCATCTTCTGGTCAGTTATCTACGATTTCAACACCCATGACTTGCTGATTATCAGGAATCTGTCGAGGAACGACTTCGGGTATCTGATCTTTGCCCTTCTTAGGTTGTGTTATTGAGGTGATATAGCAATGCCTAGCCACCTCTTGGTTACCTTGCAGTGTTGGTATGCCCATTGGAGTGGGGAACTTCATGCAGAGGTGAGACTGGGAAACCACGGCTCGAATTTCAGTCAGTGTGGGTCGGCCAATAACAACATTGAAAGAGGACGCCATCTTGACTACTAGAAACCGGATTGAAGGAGTCACATAGGTTCGGCCACTCCCAAATGCCACATTCATGGTGAGAACACCTTCAACTGGAATTGGCTGGTTATTGAAATCGTAAATGGGACCATCGTATTTCTGCAACAATGCCAGATCTAGTCCAAGACTCTCAAAACAGTGGAAGTACATGATGTCTGGTGCACTTCCGGTGTCAACAAGGACACATTGTACTTCACAGTTGTTAATTAGGACGGAAGTGACCAGAGGATCATTGTGAGGTGTAACAACTGTGTCAAAATCAGCAATGTGAAAGTAATAGGTTGATTCTTCCAGTCAACATCGTCAAACTTGCGTTTCTGAGCTCGGTTTGGATGCTTAACTTCCCTAACATACAACTTTCTCTGTTTAGAGCTCAGTCCACCTGCTTCCAAGCCTCTCGTAATCATGTGTATGACTCTAGCTAGTGGTAGGAGCGGGGGTGGCATTTGCTGATATCCCACGCCTTGCCTGTTTGGGGGATTGCGGACTCCTTGATGCTGTGGCCCCTGTTCTCTGACAAACCTTCGCTGTTCAACTCGCTGGATGTACTCATTCAACATTCACTTCTGAGCTAGACTTTCCAGCTCGGACCTCAGACTGTTGCACTGCTCTGTTGTATGACCGTGATTTTGATGAAAATCACAATACTTAGTATGATCTCTGGTAGCAGCAGCTATTCTCATTGGACCCAGACGCCTTAAGTCCATCTTATTCTTAATCTGCATAAAAATTTGTGACCTCAGCAAATTAAAAGGAGTCCAATTAACTGGAGGTTTACCTGCAGATTGTTGCGGAGGTGCTAAGTTCTGCCTTCCGAATCTCGAGGTGGAAGTCGGCATCGGACCTCGGTTCGGTGTTGTCTTCATCCGTTTCCTGTTCGGATCCTCATCTCTCCAGTGCGAGTGTTGGTTCTTAATAGGAATTGGGTTTTGCGACAGGGCATATTCCTCAGTAGTGATGAATTTCAGTGATCTATCATTTACCTCGTTGAAGGTGGTGGCAGGATGTTTAAGCAGGCTATCCCTGAACCTCTCATGGCTAAGACCTGAGATCACAGCTGTAATTCCCACAGCCTGGTCAAAAGAGTTAACCTCTAGTACGACATCATTGAATTTGCTCATAAAATTCTTCAAAGATTCCCTGTCCCTTTGTTTAACTCGCATCAGTTCAGAAGTAGTTTTCTTGATCAACCTTCTACTGGAAAACTTTGTAGCAAAAGCAGATGCCAGTTCTGTATAAAAGCTGATTGACCTCGGAGATAGACTGTAGTACCAGGTTCGAGCATTACCTCGGAGAGTAAAGGGAAAGATTTTGCACATCAACGCATCAGAGGTGTTCTAGGCTTGCATTCAAGAATAGAAAGCATGTAGATGATCATCGGGGTCCTTCGTCCCATCATAAGTTTCAAGCTGCGGTATCCTAAAGCCAGCGGGGTAGGGTTCCAGTGTGATGTTGTTGTTCAGAGGGTGGGGTATGGAGTCAGTAGTATGGTGTGGAAGTGGGGCACCTCGCTGTTCAGCCACGAGCTTTTCTAAGCTGTCTAGACGTCGAGTGACATCATCATGGAGGGGTTGCTGAACTGGGGCAATTTGAGATTGGCCTTGAGATTCGCTGATAGCAGGAGCATGCGGAACTGGTCCAGGGTTTTGTTGTGGAGCTGGGGGTTGTGGAGCAGGATTGAGTAGGTTGATGAGTGGATCACCAGGATTGTTCCGGGCTAATAGTTGAGCCAGCACTAACTGAAAGACACCAAATTGCTGTTGCATGTCAGCAAGCTGAGTTGCAACTACGTCTTGGTTGGCAGTAGAGGTTGAATTGTAAGCCGAATTGTGTGGCTGATTTTTATCTCCTCCTTCTGCATGGTCAACACGAGGGAGTGTATTTAGGATTGGGGGTGGGGGATGGGGTGGGAGGTTGCTGGGGACCTGACCTCGTCCAAGAGGCTGGGATGAGTTTCCACCTCGGACTGACCTAGTTTTAACCATGATAAGAGCAACAAGGGAGCTTTCAGTGCGAGTTCCCACAGACGGTGCCAATGTAATTGCACCAAACCAGAAGTCCTTCTTTAATCCGCGTCTTCACTTCAGATGAACCTGCAAAGCCCCGAGGTGGGTTCTCGGGGTAGACACTCCGATGCTTAAGTCAGCAATAATCGGGGCTACCTTTAGGGCGGATAAAACAGGAACTTAGGGTTGATTTCAATTATCTTTTGGCGTGGCCCTTGAGGGGTATTTATATGTTCCCATGAAGAAACCACGTGGCATGCCAAGCAAAATACTCGGGATCTGATGTGTATCTCCAGGCAGTTATTTCGGGACCCGGAGATTGAGCCAAGCAAGATATTCGGGATTTGATATGTATCTCCAGGCGGTTATTTCGGGACCGGGAGATTGAGAAACATTTAGATGCGAGGATGTCTATCGTAACTGTTGTGCTGCTGTGCTGCTGTTTGAGCGGGAAGCTCTAGATTTGTTCTTCACTTTGGTTATAGAAGAATTACTGCCGTACGTCCAAGGTTGGGCACCTCGGACTTGCCCTTACAGAACTTTTTGACTAAAGATGTTCTTTGCGATAAACTATTAGAGGTGGGACTAATAACTTTTTGACTTCAAAGAAAACAAACTGCATTATATCGTGAATGGAAGAGATACTTTTTGATCAGTGACCAAATCCAGTATTACAGATCTTTTGGTCCTTCAATCGCTGGAAAGGAGAATCTACGTGTGTTGGCAAATAGATTTTAGTCAAAATTCCTGTATACAAAAAGGGCTGAGAGGAAAATGAAAGCAAACTCATCTGCTATATGCTTTTTCTTTGAAAACAAAAAGATTTCCTCTTACTAAATCTGAACTCAAATAAACAAACAAAAATTGCCAGTAAAAAAAAAAAAAAAAAAGGGAGAAAAAGGTCAATGCAACCTTTTTTCTGAAGTTATATATGCATTGGAACATGCAAACTCTTCTCTGTCACTTTGCGAAAAAGCTAGATGCTTATGTTTATGTTATTTTTTAACGTATTATATATCTTTATCTTTAATAGTTTTAGCTTGAATTTTTTTTTTGAACATATATGCAAGGGACGGGTTTCGAACCTAGCTCGGGGGAGGGAGAATGCATCGGGGTGGGGGAATGTATCGGGGTGGCTATTGTCACTAGGTCTCAAGGGCCAGGTGCGTTTTAACTTGAATTTTAATTTTTTAAAACATAAATTTTAAATAAAATTTAAAATATTATATAGATAATTATTAAAA